GAGCATATCAAAATTGGGAATATTTTTATTTGAAATTTTTATCTCTTTTGTGATTAATTTACAATTTGGATAATTCAGTTTGAAAACGATAAGCATAAAATGATGGATAAAGTTCCTAACTAACTTAGTTAAGTATACTCAAATTTTTTCTATTTAAAAAATTCTTAAGTTATATAAATTTTCAGAATAAATTCTGATTAATTTAGTACAATGTGTAGCATAATGAAGTATTTTAAGGTAGACTGGCTAAAACAAGAAGGCTTCGGGGGCGCCTATATTTGGGCTCTCGACTTCGATGATTTCACAGGCAAAAAATGTGACACTGGTCCATTCCCCTTACTGAAGACTGTGAAAGATACACTTGAAAAGGAAGTGATATTTTGGGTAAAAAATTTGCTAAAATTTATGACAGTTTAAGATGTGGTAAAATTGTTAAGTGTATGAGCAGAAAACAGAGCTCTAATCTCTCCCTCAAAAATCTAAACTGAAATATCTAACTTAACATTTTTGTTTAAATTTGAAAATTATCAAATAGTAATAAGTTGTGTACTCATAAAATTAGAGTGAATGCAATAATTGCTGAGTGGCTAAACCAGTGCTTCCTGCCTAGTGAATCTCAGCAATTATTATTTATTATTATGCAAATTATTTATTCGAAATTTTATCGAAGCAGAAAGTTTGATATATCATTTGTTAGCACAACTAGAACTCATAATTTTTCAAACTCTTAATAGAACTCATAATTTTTCAGTGAGTGAACATTGCATTCGAGTTATAGCATTCTTATTAAAAAGTATAATTTTTTAGTGCAAGCAAAGATTTTAAGCTAAGATAAAAAAAGATGGATTTTACTTTTTATGAATATTTACGAACTGATCAATTCTCATTTATCAACGGCAATCAGTAACAAAAAGCAATTATTTCTCGTATATTTACTTAAAATTTTATGTATTTGTAAGTGATTTCGAAAATTGATATATTGAAAAAGTGTAATGTTCAGTCAAAACCAACAATGACAAAAACAGAATCAGCGACATCAGAAAATCAATTTTCACCATTAACAACAGTAGAAGTAACGACGTTATCGACGCTTAAAGCTGAAATAAATTCAACCGTAGAAGCAACGACAAGTATAAATAAAGTAATTGAAAAACCTCATATTCCATCAGGTATAATTAGTAATCATAAATAATCCATGACTATTTAGTAATTCTTGATTTTTTCTATACAAAATAAAAATAAATAAATAATTTATAATATGTAAACAAATTATGCAGTGAGAAAGTAACCAGCAAAATTTCTATACTTCAGTCATTTGCTTCAATGCAATTGCTTTTTATCACTGCTGTCATTTTACGAATTTTAAAAGTAACATACAAATTTTGTATTTTTGTATTGCAACGAAAAAGTTTTTTCAGATGAACGATGCTTAACTTCTGAAGGAACATTTCCTGATTCGGATAATTGTCGTCAACTGGTCAAATGTTTGAATGGTCAGTTGTTAGCAGTATTGTTATGTGCACCTGGCACTTTTTACAATGATACACTCAAAGCTTGTGACAGTTTGAAGAATGCACCTAAGACTTGCAAATAATTTTTTTATATTTCAATAATGCAAACTTTTGAGTGAGAAATTTAAAAATATCAATGTAATATAGTGATTATCTTTAATTAATCGCACTCTGTATCAAACTGAATATTAAATGTTATATAATGTCAAATATTTTGAAAGAAAAAACGTGTAATTCAGAATTTTAATTAAACAGTTAATTATGATTTTACGCTGATATTTTTAAATTCTGAATTTGAGACTTTTTTAATTCTTGTAAGTGGTTTAATATGCTTTTTAAATGCATCCCACTGCAATTATTTAATTTCTATTTAGGGAAATTTTGTTCATTTAAATTTGCTGCTACTTTTAATTTAATACAACAATTATAAGGTTTATAATTTGTGCAACTGAATAATAACTGTATTAGATAAGTTTATAATTAGCTTCAAAATTCAATTAATTGCTTATAATTGCTTAATCTTTTGTTGATAGTATACAGTTATCAGTGCTCGTTGAATTATTTGTTACAACTAACTGTTTAATGACTTTATCATTCTTTATCAATAGTAATTTTATATATTGCAAACATGTTCAAGTATGATAAATAAGTGTCAACTGAAATGCCATTTGAAGAAAACACATAATTATTCGTAACAGCCTAAAAATTTTTTTGAGTATATCACAAGTACTATTTGTTCAGCTTATGAATTTTTCGCTTGTCAAAAATATTTTCCTGTCAAAAAATGGAAAACAGAAACTTTGAAGGCAATAACACTTAAAAAATTTTGAATTAAAAGTTTGAAGTAAGTACTTACTTTATTTGCGAGAAATACAATTTTTTAACAAAATAATTTTTCGGATTATTCATTTTTTACAATTAAAAATATATCCTATTTTATTAAGTTAGAAAATTTTTAGTTATTTTTGTTAGTGTATCATTTCAAGCAGAGGTCAAATAAAACTATATCTAAGGATTTCCTACAAAATGTTCGAAAAAACAATATTGTTGTTTTTATCAAATTTTTATGCTTAACAGATTTCACCAATTCAATTTTAATTCAATGTTTAAGTTTCATGATTATTTATATGCTTGAGAATTTGCGATATATAGGCAGATTTTGTGCTTTTTATTATCTAAGCTAGATTCCATCAATATTAGTATGATATATGAAGAATTTATTACAATCACAATAATATTTACAAAGCAAAAGTTCACAATGACTATTTTTACAACAGTTCATACTATTTACCATTACAATATTATTTACACAGTGTCTTCAAAACATTTATTATGCCACTTCTGCAGTAGATATCTATTCTGCTGAAAATTATTTATTTATTTATTTATTTATTTATTTATTTATTTATTTATTT